TTCGACGCGACCGAGGGCGCCCGTGTCGGTATCGTCGAGTTCTCGAGCGACGCGGCGACGCTCACGCCGCTGACCGGCTCTCTGAGCGAAGTGCTGACCGCGATCGACGGCGCGTCTGCGGCAGGGGGCGGCACGTCCGTGTCGGACGGCCTGGAGCTCGGGCGAGTCGAGGTGAACCAGGGCGCGCGCGCCGACGTGCCTCGCACGATCCTGCTGCTGACGGACGGCGTGCAGACGGTGGACGGCAACGACGACACGGCCATCGCGAAGGCGGCGGTGGTGAAGCAGGACGGCATCTCGATTGTCGCGGTCGGGTTTGGCGGCGCGAATGAGCAGACGATGCGCGCGATCGCGTCGGCGCCCAGCTCCGACTTCGCCTTCTTCGGCGCGTCGATGGACGAGGTGCGGCAGCACTTTGCGTCGGACCAGCTCTGCGAGCTGGCCGCGTCCCCGAAGGCGCCGCCGCCGCCTCCGTCGACGCCCGCGCCGCCAGGGCTGCCGCCGTCGCCGCCGTCGCCGTCGCCCGCGCCGCCGTCTCCGCCGGCGTGCGTGGTCAAGATCGAGCTGGTGCTTGTGCTGGACAAGAGCGGGTCGGTCCAGGCGGAGCAGTCGTCGCTGCTCGCCTTCGCGCGCGAGATGGTGTCCCAGTTCAGCCTCGACGCGACCGAGGGCGCCCGTGTCGGCATCGTCGAGTTCTCGAGCGACGCGGCGACGCTCACGCCGCTGACCGGCTCTCTGAGCGAAGTGCTGACCGCGATCGACGGCGCGTCTGCGGCAGGGGGTGGCACGTCCGTGTCGGACGGCCTGGAGCTCGGGCGAGTCGAGGTGAACCAGGGCGCGCGCGCCGACGTGCCTCGCACGATCCTGCTGCTGACGGACGGCGTGCAGACGGTGGACGGCAACGACGACACGGCCATCGCGAAGGCGGCGGTGGTGAAGCAGGACGGCATCTCGATTGTCGCGGTCGGGTTTGGCGGCGCGAATGAGCAGACGATGCGCGCGATCGCGTCGGCGCCCAGCTCCGACTTCGCCTTCTTCGGCGCGTCGATGGACGAGGTGCGGCAGCACTTTGCGTCGGACCAGCTCTGCGAGCTGGCCGCGTCCCCGAAGGCGCCGCCGCCGCCTCCGTCGACGCCCGCGCCGCCAGGGCTGCCGCCCTCGCCGCCGTCGCCGTCGCCCGCGCCGCCGTCTCCGCCGGCGTGCGTGGTCAAGATCGAGCTGGTGCTTGTGCTGGACAAGAGCGGGTCGGTCCAGGCGGAGCAGTCGTCGCTGCTCGCCTTCGCGCGCGAGATGGTGTCCCAGTTCAGCCTCGACGCGACCGAGGGCGCCCGTGTCGGCATCGTCGAGTTCTCGAGCGACGCGGCGACGCTCACGCCGCTGACCGGCTCTCTGAGCGAAGTGCTGACCGCGATCGACGGCGCGTCTGCGGCAGGGGGTGGCACGTCCGTGTCGGACGGCCTGGAGCTCGGGCGAGTCGAGGTGAACCAGGGCGCGCGCGCCGACGTGCCTCGCACGATCCTGCTGCTGACGGACGGCGTGCAGACGGTGGACGGCAACGACGACACGGCCATCGCGAAGGCGGCGGTGGTGAAGCAGGACGGCATCTCGATTGTCGCGGTCGGGTTTGGCGGCGCGAATGAGCAGACGATGCGCGCGATCGCGTCGGCGCCCAGCTCCGACTTCGCCTTCTTCGGCGCGTCGATGGACGAGGTGCGGCAGCACTTTGCGTCGGACCAGCTCTGCGAGCTGGCCGCGTCCCCGAAGGCGCCGCCGCCGCCTCCGTCGACGCCCGCGCCGCCAGGGCTGCCGCCGTCGCCGCCGTCGCCGTCGCCCGCGCCGCCGTCTCCGCCGGCGTGCGTGGTCAAGATCGAGCTGGTGCTTGTGCTGGACAAGAGCGGGTCGGTCCAGGCGGAGCAGTCGTCGCTGCTCGCCTTCGCGCGCGAGATGGTGTCCCAGTTCAGCCTCGACGCGACCGAGGGCGCCCGTGTCGGCATCGTCGAGTTCTCGAGCGACGCGGCGACGCTCACGCCGCTGACCGGCTCTCTGAGCGAAGTGCTGACCGCGATCGACGGCGCGTCTGCGGCAGGGGGCGGCACGTCCGTGTCGGACGGCCTGGAGCTCGGGCGAGTCGAGGTGAACCAGGGCGCGCGCGCCGACGTGCCTCGCACGATCCTGCTGCTGACGGACGGCGTGCAGACGGTGGACGGCAACGACGACACGGCCATCGCGAAGGCGGCGGTGGTGAAGCAGGACGGCATCTCGATTGTCGCGGTCGGGTTTGGCGGCGCGAATGAGCAGACGATGCGCGCGATCGCGTCGGCGCCCAGCTCCGACTTCGCCTTCTTCGGCGCGTCGATGGACGAGGTGCGGCAGCACTTTGCGTCGGACCAGCTCTGCGAGCTGGCCGCGTCCCCGAAGGCGCCGCCGCCGCCTCCGTCGACGCCCGCGCCGCCAGGGCTGCCGCCGTCGCCGCCGTCGCCGTCGCCCGCGCCGCCGTCTCCGCCGGCGTGCGTGGTCAAGATCGAGCTGGTGCTTGTGCTGGACAAGAGCGGGTCGGTCCAGGCGGAGCAGTCGTCGCTGCTCGCCTTCGCGCGCGAGATGGTGTCCCAGTTCAGCCTCGACGCGACCGAGGGCGCCCGTGTCGGTATCGTCGAGTTCTCGAGCGACGCGGCGACGCTCACGCCGCTGACCGGCTCTCTGAGCGAAGTGCTGACCGCGATCGACGGCGCGTCTGCGGCAGGGGGCGGCACGTCCGTGTCGGACGGCCTGGAGCTCGGGCGAGTCGAGGTGAACCAGGGCGCGCGCGCCGACGTGCCTCGCACGATCCTGCTGCTGACGGACGGCGTGCAGACGGTGGACGGCAACGACGACACGGCCATCGCGAAGGCGGCGGTGGTGAAGCAGGACGGCATCTCGATTGTCGCGGTCGGGTTTGGCGGCGCGAATGAGCAGACGATGCGCGCGATCGCGTCGGCGCCCAGCTCCGACTTCGCCTTCTTCGGCGCGTCGATGGACGAGGTGCGGCAGCACTTTGCGTCGGACCAGCTCTGCGAGCTGGCCGCGTCCCCGAAGGCGCCGCCGCCGCCTCCGTCGACGCCCGCGCCGCCAGGGCTGCCGCCCTCGCCGCCGTCGCCGTCGCCCGCGCCGCCGTCTCCGCCGGCGTGCGTGGTCAAGATCGAGCTGGTGCTTGTGCTGGACAAGAGCGGGTCGGTCCAGGCGGAGCAGTCGTCGCTGCTCGCCTTCGCGCGCGAGATGGTGTCCCAGTTCAGCCTCGACGCGACCGAGGGCGCCCGTGTCGGTATCGTCGAGTTCTCGAGCGACGCGGCGACGCTCACGCCGCTGACCGGCTCTCTGAGCGAAGTGCTGACCGCGATCGACGGCGCGTCTGCGGCAGGGGGCGGCACGTCCGTGTCGGACGGCCTGGAGCTCGGGCGAGTCGAGGTGAACCAGGGCGCGCGCGCCGACGTGCCTCGCACGATCCTGCTGCTGACGGACGGCGTGCAGACGGTGGACGGCAACGACGACACGGCCATCGCGAAGGCGGCGGTGGTGAAGCAGGACGGCATCTCGATTGTCGCGGTCGGGTTTGGCGGCGCGAATGAGCAGACGATGCGCGCGATCGCGTCGGCGCCCAGCTCCGACTTCGCCTTCTTCGGCGCGTCGATGGACGAGGTGCGGCAGCACTTTGCGTCGGACCAGCTCTGCGAGCTGGCCGCGTCCCCGAAGGCGCCGCCGCCGCCTCCGTCGCTGCCCGCGCCGCCAGGGCTGCCGCCCTCGCCGCCGTCGCCGTCGCCTGCGCCGCCGTCTCCGCCGGCGTGCGTGGTCAAGATCGAGCTGGTGCTTGTGCTGGACAAGAGCGGGTCGGTCCAGGCGGAGCAGTCGTCGCTGCTCGCCTTCGCGCGCGAGATGGTGTCCCAGTTCAGCCTCGACGCGACCGAGGGCGCCCGTGTCGGCATCGTCGAGTTCTCGAGCGACGCGGCGACGCTCACGCCGCTGACCGGCTCTTTGAGCGAAGTGCTGACCGCGATCGACGGCGCGTCTGCGGCAGGGGGCGGCACGTCCGTGTCGGACGGCCTGGAGCTCGGGCGAGTCGAGGTGAACCAGGGCGCGCGCGCCGACGTGCCTCGCACGATCCTGCTGCTGACGGACGGCGTGCAGACGGTGGACGGCAACGACGACACGGCCATCGCGAAGGCGGCGGTGGTGAAGCAGGACGGCATCTCGATTGTCGCGGTCGGGTTTGGCGGCGCGAATGAGCAGACGATGCGCGCGATCGCGTCGGCGCCCAGCTCCGACTTCGCCTTCTTCGGCGCGTCGATGGACGAGGTGCGGCAGCACTTTGCGTCGGACCAGCTCTGCGAGCTGGCCGCGTCCCCGAAGGCGCCGCCGCCGCCTCCGTCGACGCCCGCGCCGCCAGGGCTGCCGCCGTCGCCGCCGTCGCCGTCGCCCGCGCCGCCGTCTCCGCCGGCGTGCGTGGTCAAGATCGAGCTGGTGCTTGTGCTGGACAAGAGCGGGTCGGTCCAGGCGGAGCAGTCGTCGCTGCTCGCCTTCGCGCGCGAGATGGTGTCCCAGTTCAGCCTCGACGCGACCGAGGGCGCCCGTGTCGGTATCGTCGAGTTCTCGAGCGACGCGGCGACGCTCACGCCGCTGACCGGCTCTCTGAGCGAAGTGCTGACCGCGATCGACGGCGCGTCTGCGGCAGGGGGCGGCACGTCCGTGTCGGACGGCCTGGAGCTCGGGCGAGTCGAGGTGAACCAGGGCGCGCGCGCCGACGTGCCTCGCACGATCCTGCTGCTGACGGACGGCGTGCAGACGGTGGACGGCAACGACGACACGGCCATCGCGAAGGCGGCGGTGGTGAAGCAGGACGGCATCTCGATTGTCGCGGTCGGGTTTGGCGGCGCGAATGAGCAGACGATGCGCGCGATCGCGTCGGCGCCCAGCTCCGACTTCGCCTTCTTCGGCGCGTCGATGGACGAGGTGCGGCAGCACTTTGCGTCGGACCAGCTCTGCGAGCTGGCCGCGTCCCCGAAGGCGCCGCCGCCGCCTCCGTCGACGCCCGCGCCGCCAGGGCTGCCGCCCTCGCCGCCGTCGCCGTCGCCTGCGCCGCCGTCTCCGCCGGCGTGCGTGGTCAAGATCGAGCTGGTGCTTGTGCTGGACAAGAGCGGGTCGGTCCAGGCGGAGCAGTCGTCGCTGCTCGCCTTCGCGCGCGAGATGGTGTCCCAGTTCAGCCTCGACGCGACCGAGGGCGCCCGTGTCGGCATCGTCGAGTTCTCGAGCGACGCGGCGACGCTCACGCCGCTGACCGGCTCTCTGAGCGAAGTGCTGACCGCGATCGACGGCGCGTCTGCGGCAGGGGGCGGCACGTCCGTGTCGGACGGCCTGGAGCTCGGGCGAGTCGAGGTGAACCAGGGCGCGCGCGCCGACGTGCCTCGCACGATCCTGCTGCTGACGGACGGCGTGCAGACGGTGGACGGCAACGACGACACGGCCATCGCGAAGGCGGCGGTGGTGAAGCAGGACGGCATCTCGATTGTCGCGGTCGGGTTTGGCGGCGCGAATGAGCAGACGATGCGCGCGATCGCGTCGGCGCCCAGCTCCGACTTCGCCTTCTTCGGCGCGTCGATGGACGAGGTGCGGCAGCACTTTGCGTCGGACCAGCTCTGCGAGCTGGCCGCGTCCCCGAAGGCGCCGCCGCCGCCTCCGTCGACGCCCGCGCCGCCAGGGCTGCCGCCGTCGCCGCCGTCGCCGTCGCCCGCGCCGCCGTCTCCGCCGGCGTGCGTGGTCAAGATCGAGCTGGTGCTTGTGCTGGACAAGAGCGGGTCGGTCCAGGCGGAGCAGTCGTCGCTGCTCGCCTTCGCGCGCGAGATGGTGTCCCAGTTCAGCCTCGACGCGACCGAGGGCGCCCGTGTCGGTATCGTCGAGTTCTCGAGCGACGCGGCGACGCTCACGCCGCTGACCGGCTCTCTGAGCGAAGTGCTGACCGCGATCGACGGCGCGTCTGCGGCAGGGGGCGGCACGTCCGTGTCGGACGGCCTGGAGCTCGGGCGAGTCGAGGTGAACCAGGGCGCGCGCGCCGACGTGCCTCGCACGATCCTGCTGCTGACGGACGGCGTGCAGACGGTGGACGGCAACGACGACACGGCCATCGCGAAGGCGGCGGTGGTGAAGCAGGACGGCATCTCGATTGTCGCGGTCGGGTTTTGGCGGCGCGAATGAGCAGACGATGCGCGCGATCGCGTCGGCGCCCAGCTCCGACTTCGCCTTCTTCGGCGCGTCGATGGACGAGGTGCGGCAGCACTTTGCGTAGCTCCGACTTCGCCTTCTTCGGCGCGTCGATGGACGAGGTGCGCCAGCACTTTGCGTCGGACCAGCTCTGCGAGCTGGCCGCGTCCCCGAACGAGCAACCGCCCCACCCACCGAGCCACACCCCCGTCCACCCTCCCAGCCTCGCCCGGCGCTGCGCCGCGCAGAGCGAGCCTCCACTCCACCTGCAGACACCGCTCGCTGTCTGGTGGGGACAGCAGTCATAACAGCAACAACCATGAACCATGCTGAAGAGACTCCACCTGCCGGCCCAACTCATCCTCGAACTTCCCCGTGCGCTCGAACCCGCTCCCCGCAAGGAAAGAGAGCATCAGCGCGT